AGCCTCTCTACCATCACTGTCCTGCCCTCCAAAATTAATTCCCCTCCAAAGCGCTTGGTTAAAGCTGGGCTTTGTTGCAGTGTCCAGGACTCTGTTGAGACGCAGAAGCATAGACAGCCCTGCTTTCCAGCCCAACACATCCCTGGAAAAGAGGCGATGAAGAGGATTTTCATGACGCAGATTGTATTTTCCCACAGGAACACTTATAATTGGGGTGCACTGCTCACCAGAGGCCTCGCATCGAACGAATCACAGTGACATCCGGCAGCATGTCCTAAAAGCCAATACGTCCCCCAACCTCTGTAATCATCTATCAGAAGAAAATCTCTGACTCGCCTTTTTCTCTTGATTCTGGCAGGGCCTCGGCTCATTACTCAGTGTTCCTAAACTGAGCTATCCCTCCCCAGCCGCACACGCTAGAGCCCCTTTCTTTCCTCTCCTGGCCTTGATCTTGAGGCCATGAGCCCCCTAGTTGTTCCACATGGGCTCGTCTTTCTTCACTGAATCCCTTTAACTAAAAGGCCTTTGAACAATTCACAATTTCCTCTGCCCTCCTTTGCCTCCAGTCCTGCATCGACGTGGAGCACATGGGGGTGGGCAGCCCTCCAGCCGGTCACAGCAATGTCCCTCCTCAAGGTGCTGAATCTGGACTGTGATTGGCATGTAAAAAAAAAAGTTCCCACATAATGCCCTTATAGGTCAGAGCCCTAAAGCAGCCAGATATTTCCCAAATCCATGATGCCTGAAGGTCAATAGGGCATTCTTTTATTCCAAAGATAGGATTGATTTCTTTCTGTGTACCAGGCATTTCCCAAGGCACTTGGGACATAGCTGTGAATAAAACAGATAAAAACCCACACGGGGCTCTAGAGGGGAAGGCACAAGTGGCATTTGTCCAGTGAGTCGAAAGACCATTGGCTCGGGCGTCAGGAAGCCTGAGGAGCTAGTCCAGATGCTTCTTCCACTAATCAGCCAAGTCACTTCTCCCTCTCTGATCTAGTCTCCTCCTCTGGAGAATGGAAAGACTGGACTCTGTCCCGGGTAAGGACTTGCACCTGAGACTTATCTAAAAGCACTTTGCTTTGTGACCCTCCTTATACTGTAGAGTTTTTGGCTTCCCAACTGAGAGAGTAGAGCTTCCTGCCTCTCCTTAAGTGAGGCATTCACGCCAGCTTCCCTTTCTGCCCCTCACAGTTCTTTCCTGCTTTGATTAATCTTTGGTCTTTAGAAAGCAGAGAACCTCTCCATCAATTCCACCTGCCTGCCTCCTGTCCTACCCCGCCCCCCCCCACGCCCCGGCCCCGTGTTGTCCCTTCTCCATGACCATAGGGTCGCAAGCATTTTTCAAGAACAGACAAACGACCCCATCTTCAAAGATAGTTTTTGTGAGAGGAATGCCTCTTTGGGGCCACTATGATGCCTTTGGGGGCGTCTGTTTCCCTGATCATGCTCAAGGAAGCCAGTGAACAGATCACAGGGAGGGATTCAGTACAGTTGGTGCAACAGAACCACTGGAAACCAATTAGCCTGGAAACCAGAGGAAGGATGGTGGCCAAAGGACAGGCCCCCCCCGGGGTAAACAATTACCAATGTGGGCAGGGACAGCAATGTAGGTCAGCTCTCAGCCAGGAAATCGTTTTACCAGTGCAAACTGTGAATCCCTTCTGGAAGCAGAATCTAGGTAAAGGTTTTCTTTCTATATTTGGGCAGATGACCCCCTGGTTGCCTTGCAACTCCCCTTGGTTTCTGAGACAGCTGGTCTTGGCTTCCACCTTCCTTCCACAAGAAAATGGCTCAGGGGACTTCTCAACCTTGACCTTCTGGTTGATGATCGCAAAATAGAGGGCTAGATTTTGCTTTAGAAATCAGGTCTGGGCAGGAGACCCATATTGCCCTCCCATATTCTGACAACACTGGATGTTTTCTGGCACAGACGTGGTGGATCTTTTTTTGTTTGTTTTCCAGAGCACACCTTTCAGCATCTATGGTGCTGTAAAGATTTACCGATTTTAGATGAATATCTGGGGAACCCTAAAATTAACATCAACACCCAGGCTTGAAGGACTGTTCTCGCAGGGATTTGGTCAAGCAGAAACAGGAGACGCTGGCGTTCAGATCGAGTCCCACAGGCAGTTCGGGGCCCCATGCAGAGGCTCGGATGGGTAGGGTCACTGAGACATTCAGCTCCTAGCTTGGCGTGGGCACAGTGTACAAAGTGCTTCTGCATTTACTCTCTCTTTGGTTCCTCAGACCCTTTCTGGAAAGTGTTGAGCAGAGCGAGTGTTGACATTATCCCCACTTTGTAGAGGAGGCTGAGATTCACAAAGGCTCCAGGCATGTGTTTGCTGAGCTGGTATATGACGGTCAGGACTGGAGGTGGGGGGTGGGGGGGTCTCCCAGGGCTGAGACCAGGGGTCCTTCTACCACTCCGCAGTGTGTTGGGGTGTCTTCTGAGAGTCCTGGGTCAGGCATTTCTGCTATCTCTCTTAACCTCGTTCTAGGCAATACTTCAGGTTTACCAGTAAGCCGTGGAGGCTGACCTTGATAGACTACTTGGGAAAGGTGTGTGGCCCAACTTTCCCTCGGAGGCCAGGACCACAGAATTCTGATGGGCATTTTTCTCAGCAGTTCCTGACCCTGCTTCAAGACCAGAGAGGAAACTGCATCTCCTATATACCCATGGCTTCCCAGGGAAGCCACAGTTGCCATATGCTAAGGGCCTCAGAGACTCTCCTCTCTGGTCCCCACTCTGGCATAGCTTTGCCCTGAGGCCTTTTTCCTCGCTGACACCCTTTGGCCTCTAGATCATGTGCAAGGGTTGACCAAACCCCAAGATCCTCTCTTTCTCAGACACTGCATGGGACAGCTCTCTGGCATATGGCCCCAGGGATGGTTGGACTTTCTGTTGGCCTTTTCGTAAAGGAACAAAGAAGTGTTCTCCTTCCCCAACTTGGCAACACAAATCTCCACCTTTGAAGACACCTGCTAACAGCGAGTCATGCAACATTTCTTGAAATGGTACACGAGAAAGTTTGCAAAAGCAGTTGTTTAGAATCCTTCTGCTCTTAGTTAACTTTGCCAGCTGAGCCGTCTTCCTAAGTTAATAACAGTAGAATCCTGCATGGACTTACCTCCAATCCACTGGACTTGCTGTAGCTCACACCTGCCTCCCCCCCCCCAGATATGGTTCTGTGAGATAAACACTTGGCATGAACCAGTTTGCCTCCAAGTCACTCTCTAGGGCCTCATTATAGAGAGGTGAATGTTAGGCGAGGAGTTCGGTGTGCACCTGTAGAGTTCAATGTCTTTTTTAAAACCACGAATTGAGGAGCGTAACTAATGAGCACACCATGAAGGCCACAGACCACTTCATTCAACATTAGAGTCACTTCCCAGGTTGGGTAGAAATGAAAGTCCCCAAGGAAAGGCCACCCCATCAAATAATGAAGAGCTTTTATTTTCTGTGTGATAAATATTCAGCGGACATTTTGATAGACAAAGAGCGTGTACTAGAGGCCTTCAAAAAAACCCACTCTGATTTCTGGTGGGATGCGGAGGGACGAGAGAGGTGGGGAGGAAGAGATTTCTCTACGTGATGTACTCTGTTATCAAAACAGAGCAGCTGGTTGGGGATTTCAGAGTTCAGATGATTTTGAACTGATTCTCCCTTCTCTGCAGGGACCCTTCTGTCATTCTGGCTTTTGCTTGCCCTTCTAGAGCCTGCCCCTAGGATGGTCATGAAGTTAAAACAGAGAACCCACAGAAAGCTTGTATTTCAATGCCTGGCACACGGCAACTGTTTAGGGTAGTCATTGCCTGAGTTATTCATAATATTGGCATCAGGGGAGATGTGTCCCTTTCTGTGAATGGGGCAACAGAGGCCGAGGTCAGGGAGGATTGCTGTGCATGGCCACTGAAGGTCTCAGCTCCACTCAGGCTCATCTTCACAGGCAGGTCGGACCATTGTGACCGTGGTGGATTGGCCCGGGCTGCAGGGTGGGCGGCTGGCCGGGGTCTGGTTCCACTGCCGCCCCGGCCCCACTCCGTGCAAGCTGGCCCTCCGGGTTGTGCTAAGACAGCGATGCTGACCCACCAGCATGACTGTAAATACAAAAGCTCCATACCACCCTTTATGATAAAGAACCTTAGTAACTTCCCAGTGGCTTGGAGCAAGGCCACGCTTGATGCTGCCATGGCCTTAGCTCAGGCCTTCCAAACCCACACTCCTGCTTCCAGTCTGTCTAACCCTCAGCTACCCTTCCTATGGCCGCCAAGAGGCCCTTCTAGGACCAGCTTCTGATCTGGGACATGATATACTCCTGTTTTAAAGGACCGGCTCTCCTTTGCCTGGAGGGAGCAGCCCCTCCCCCCCCAGTGGGGCCTGCAAGACCCTTTTCCATCCCCTCACCTCCCACTGTCCCGGGAGGACCCTCCAGTCACTCCGTGCTCTTCATTCCTGGCAGGGAAGGCCCTTTCCTGACTCCAAACTTCTGCACATGCTCTTCCTACTGCCTGGAGGCTGTTCCCTACCTGCTTCTCTGCCTGGCAAACACCTGTTTGGTCCTTCAAGACTCAGTGGCAGGGCGAGCCCCTCTATGTCCCCTGGGAGCAGGAACCTCCTGCCTGGTGAAGGCAACTATGTTTTCTTCGATTCACTCCAGAGCTGGCCCCTGGTCCCCACCACCGGCACGTCTGCATGGTGTGGCCCGGCCGTGGAAAACATTCTTCCAGACCCGGCACATGCTCTCTGTGTCAGCCTCCTTAGGAGACATCGTGTACCAGAAATTGTCCTACACGTGGAAACTGTGGACTTGATTAGGAGATATTAAATGCCATTAATCGTCTCATCATTGCTATGATGACAACCTGGAGAAACCCCTGGAAGGGAATGGAAATGTTCTCTGAACTCTGGTGGGGTTTCCCAGCCGGGGGTGGGGGGAAGGTGTTTCTTCCTACACGGACTGGAGACTGGCGCCGCTCCCGCCCCCAAGCCCACCCACCCTCTGCCACCTCTGTCCCAGTCGTCACCGAGCATCGGAGACACCCGTGCGTTGGCCAAGGTCACATTCTGAATTCCCACCTGCCTTGTCCGGACACGGGCCGGGATGACATCTGCCTCAGAAGAACATCCTGAAGATCAAAGGAGGGTCTACCTGTGAAGTTCCTAGTAGACACAAACACGGCTCAGTTGCAGGCTCCATCCCTCCCCCACCAGCTGGCACTCGCTCCGCGCTCAGCAGCAGCCGCTGGAGGAAGTTCTCAGCCGTGGCACAGAGAGGGGTCAGGCTAGAGGCGGAGGCGCTCGAGCGAAATGCAGACCTTCTCCTCTCCCTCCTGCTGCTCAGGGAAAAGCTCTGCCCTCACACACTTCATAGCCAGGGGCTCCAGAGATCTGAACTCATGTCGGTGTTGGAGGACGATTTGCAGAGGCGGGGCCTTGGCCATGCGTTTCTGGTCAGCGTCCAAGTGTCCACCTGATTTACTCACCGGGGGTGGCCTGGCCTGTGACCAGCTGCCCCCCTCTTCCAGGCAGCACAGCAGGTGGCTGTGGAGTGGCAGAGGGCCTGTGGGGAGGGACTCAGAGGGGGCGTATTGGGGGGGGAGGAGCAGATCACTGGGGATGGACCCAGCACCCTGCTCAGGAGCATCCTCTGGCTCTAAGATGACATTTGAGCTCAGGCCAGAGAATCTCCAACGTGTTCTTTGCTATTGACAAGAGAGGTCACTGTATGCCAGATCCAGTTCTAGGTGCCTCGTGTGTCAGCCTGTTCAATTCTCACAACCCTGGGAGCTCAGTACACCAACTAAAATGCTGGGAAACTGAGGCACAGAGGGGCGCCATACCTTGCCCCAGGTGACCTGGCTGGCAGGTGGGAGGCCTCAGATTGACCCCAGGGGATCTGGCCCAAGGATGCATGTGCTTCAACACACACCGCCCTACACACAGAGCTCATTTTGCCCCAGCAGCTTGCATAAGTCTCTGGCTCAGGCTACCTCTGGTTGTTTGAGGTGAAGTCAGCAGCTCCAGTGTGCAGAAGAGACTCGGGGAAGCTGGGGATCCCACTTCCTCTGGTACCTTCCGCTTGCCATCTTCAAGAGGCCCAAACCCAGGGGGCCGGGGGTGTGCCCTTGGGTGTGGGACATCCATTCATTTATTTAATACACGTTTAGCAGCCAGGCAGGGGGTAGCAGGGGTCCAGACAGGCAAGGTCTCAGACCTTGTATTGGGGTTGGGAAAACAGCTAATAAATAAATAAGAAAAATTCAAGTCATCTTAAAAAATGAAGGAGAGAATATGCAGGTGAATGAGGTAGAGTTTGAACAGTACTGGGGGTGGGGGGAGGGGGCTGAACAACCTAGGGCAGCAGGCAGATCATTCTGTATGGGTCATTCTGTATAGACTTTAAACTAAATATTTTCTAATTCTGTGATCTCCTTCAGGCTGAGAAAATGTCATCTCCCTTGTACAGCAAGCTCTACACACACACACACATCCAGCTCCCTGTCCTGTTGTAGGACTGGTCTGGGCACGGGCTAGGCATTAAATAAGGGACCACTTGTACCCGGGAGGGTCTGGAGCTTGGTCAGGCTGTCTGTGCACCTCGCTTGCTCACCTGGCCCCAGGTGCAGATGGTGCGGGAACACAGTCCTATTCAGGCTGGGTAGCCGGCCACGTCAGAGCGCTCAAGGACAATTACTGAACTCAAACATCAAATCTGAGCGTTTTTGCAGAAAGGAGCCTGTTCATGCTTTCAGCTTGGCAGTGGTGCTTGCTTTGAGCAAAATCTCCAGTTACAAGTAATCAAGACCCCACCCCTGGTGTGCTGTGGATTCAGAGAATTGAAAGGGTCTTGAGAGATTGCCCAGCCTCTGTCTTCAGACAGGGATTGTGTAAACCACCCTGGTCCCAAGCCCCATTTCTCTTCTTGGATATATCCAAGGACGGAGGTCACAGCGTTATCAGGGTTACGCTCTGCCTCAGTTCGATTTTCTGAGCCCAGGTCACGGTATTTTCATTAAGAAACAGAGTCCCTGAAAGAGGCCCAAGGAAGGGACACTAGAGTATTTGATTACTTATACGGCGGCTGTCTCAGCTACAGACCCGGCTTCTGTTCTCATGAAAATGAAATATTTAGAGAACAGGAACCCACCTGTCTCCATGGCGGCCCTCCCTACTAAGAATATATTATCTCCATTAAGGCAAGGAGAGACGTGTGCTGCTCCATGTGGCTGAGGACAGGCAGACGGACTGAACCAACCTGCGTTGACCAGCTCTACACAGAGCACTTGTGAGGACACTGAAAATTCTGCCAAGTTCACTGGGGATGGCAAGGTGATGGGACACATCGCCGTGAACTGGCTGAAGGGCGCTCATGACCCAAGTGACCCAAGTTAGGGTTACACCTTTGAGGCTAAGCAATTGTTTTGTTTTGAAAGCAGGATCTTTCACAGTTTCATTTGGGGGAGGTTGGCGCCCACCATGGGCAGGACCCATTGCCGGGCACCCAGTGCAGCATGAGGATGAATGAGTCGCAGGCTGCTGTCGAAAGGGCCTCGCAGCCTGGAGAAAGAGGCCGGCTGTGCTCCTGTTCTAGAAGGTTGCTCCTCCCTTGGCTGGTTCTCTCCTACACATCCCTCTGAGCCTCAGCTCCCACAGTACTTTCCAGAACATTCCCCCATCCTCGATCTGTGATTCCCTAGCATCCTTTAATGTATTCGTTAATTCCACAAGCACTTACTAAATGCATGCTGCGCGCCCGGCACTGTTGAGACCATTGTATTAATCCCATGATGTCCTAGTTTTCTGTGTGCGACCTGCCTGGAGGTCCTGGAGGCCAGTGAACATGTCTTCACCCTCACATGCCCCAGGACCTGGCCTAAGGCAGCTGCTGAGTAAACATCTGTGGACACATGAAGAGAGCAATAGCAATGATATAAGATGGGTAGTTCCTAGAATAAGGACAAACATTTGTACATGTTTTTACAGACGTCCAACTTTCTCAGTAAACATTACGTCATCTGATTCTTCACAACAACCCCTTGGGAAACAGTTGTTTGCATTTGTGGGTGGGAAGACTGAGGCAGAGTATGACCCACTCCGTGGAACACGGGACTTTTGATGCCAAGTGCTGTTCTCTCTGGACTCCACATGGGACTGTTTCTTCCGTGAGAACCTGAGGGGGATAATGAGCTGGAGCAGCTCAGGGCAAGGAGAAGCTTTCCTTCCTGCAGAAGCTGGGGCTGACACTGGGACGGGGCAGCTCCTGACAAGTAGAGGTGGGATCAGCCCCGTGAGGAGGAAGCCCCAGGGGACATTTGAGAGCAGGCCTGCCCTGGGGTGCAGGTCCAGAGGACAGTCACGGCTCCGGCCTGTTGAGACTGGGTTAAAGAGACTCAGAGACCACAGCTGTTGGTAGGGACCTGAACACGACCTAGGCCTGCCTAGCAGTTCCGAGCTTGGCTGACCCTTAACATTGGGGGAGTTTCTAAACCATGGTTCCCAGCCTCCAACCCCAGAGACTTTAATTCAGAAGATCTGGAGCAGATCTTTTTAAAAAGCTCTAGAGCCTGGGGCGCCTGGGTGGCTCGGTTGTTTAAGCGTCCGCCTTTGGCTTAGGTCATGGTCCCAGGTCATGAGCGGGGAGCCTGCTTCTCCCTCTCCCTCTGTCCCTCTCCCTGCTTGTGCGCACTCTCTCTCTCTCAAATAAATAAATAAAATCTTAAAAAAAAAAAAAAGCTCAGGGCCTTTTAGATGCTGAGGCCCCGCCCCCCCCTGCCCCGCCACCCCAACCTTTAAAATCTATTATTCAATTTTGCCAGCTGGACACTGTCTTGGAGTTCAGAAGCCATTTGGATGCATTTCCTGCCATGCTGAGTCAGAGGTTTGTTGGTGATGGTCTGCATTTCCCCAGTGCTTGTCTGACAGCTACACTCTCTCCCGCTCTATCCGACACACTCCTCTGCCTGAAAATGAAGGGATGGTCTCCGGGGTCGACTGTGGGTGTGTGCACTGTTGATTTCTTCTCTCACGAGCAGGTGTCTGTGGCTCACACCTTGACTTCCTAGAGGATGGGACTGAGGAATCTAGACTGGCTGGTACCAGATGCCTTGGCTGACCCCGCCTGGTGGGGAATGATTTGAACAGCATCGTGCATCCTGAAGAGCCAGGAGCCAGTCCAAGAGCATTCCAGTAAGTCCCAGGGGTGTCCCCTCCACGGCCCCTCTCCAGTGTAAATGCACTCCCAGCCTGGCCTTTGCCTCAGTCTGCCTCTCTCACCTCTTCCTGCCCTCTTTTAAAACCCAAATTCAAAGGCATTAGGAAGACAGGGGCTGGGTAGCCCAGGTCCTCCAACTGAAAGCTCATGGCTTTGACCAGTGAAGTTGAGCATTCAGATATTCTTCCGAGACCATTTGTTGTAAATCAGAAAGGCCGTTTTCTGCCACTATTGTATTTAGTTGGTTTCAAACTATTGCCCAATGAGGTAAAAGACTAGTATAGTACTTACGACATATGGTATATATATTTTTTATCTACATGATTCTTCCCACTAGATTGAAAATTCCTTGAGAGCAAAGACCTGTCTGATTCATCCTTATGCCCCACGTCCAATGTGTGCACATGGTTATTTTGTTGGCTCAATGAAAAGATATGTATTTAACTAAGATTTGATTCAGAAAATCCAACATGCATAGAGTTCAGTTCATGACTGTATGTATTTTGAAAAGTGTAATACTTGTATCAGGTAGCATGCATAGATCAATTAATAGGAATATTGAGAACGAAGAAATTTCTCTCTCGGCCGACCATCAGCCCCAGCTTGCCTTGGCTTTAATTGCTCCAGGTTATGACAACGAATTAACTGCACCTTTGGGTTTTTTACTTTAACGTTAAAAATATGTGGAAAGACACGTTAAGATTTTTAATATTCAGTAGCAATCAAAGACGTGCAAAATTAGAAAAAAAACTTTGTTTTTATTTTCAACCAACAAAAGTAAGGGACATTATATTCAAAGCAGTAGCCTCGAAGCTGGTGGTACCATAATGAAACTTGAGGGGCTTGCTATATAATCCTTTGAAAAGCAAAGCAAAATCCACAAGGGTTTTTTTTTTTTTTAGATAATTTGACCTGCCAATCCTATTTCTGGAAATTGTCCTAAAGAAATCATTCAAAAGATGCAAAAAGCTACATAGATGAAGCTTCAAGCATCGACTTCTATAGCAAATCTGGAAACATAGAAATGTTCCACAGAAGAAAATGGTTTAATAAGTTATAGTATAGCAACATGTTGAAATATTACTCAGCTTTAAAATAATCACGAAGACTGGAGAAATTTGGAAAAAAGAACCTAAAGCCCTGTGTTTGTTAGGTTTACAAATGTTAAATGTATGTGTGCCTACTGGCAAGAGAGTATTGTGCAAAATGAATTTAATCTTTAAGAAAGAAATAACATATGACAAAATATTAATAACAATGATCTCTGACTGAAAGGATTATGGGTGATTTTTATTTTCCTCTTCACTCTTCTCTATAGTTTCTAGATTTTCCATTTAAAAAAAGGCATGTGTTTTGTTTGGGGGACAGAGCGCAATGGATTCTCTAAGAGTGAGCCTCTCCTGCCTGGAAAAATGATCGATGATGATGCACATTATGGGTTAGCATTTACTTTAATACTGTTTTTTACAATAAAAGCAAGTACTACTTTTTAAGATCTGTTTATTTATTTGAGAGAGAGCGAGCGCAAACGGAGGGGCACAAGGAGAGAGAGACTCTCAAGCAGTCTCCACGCGGAGTGCGGAGCCCGAAGCAGGGCTCGATCCCATGACCATGAGATCACGACCTGAGCCGAACCAAGCGCTGGATGCTTAACCGACTGCACCACCCAGGCCCTGAAAAGTAAGCACTACTTTTCTTTTAAAAAGTGAAGGGATGATATACCCAGCAGCCTACTGCTTCTCATGACTTTTGTGGCTACCACTCTGGTCTTCATCCCTCGCTTGGATTACGGAAGCCATAGCTTCTACTTGGGCTTCCATCTGCCCCCTTTGCCTCTTCTCAGCACAGGAACCAGATCGCTGATTTGAAGACCCGTGTCAGGTGCCGACTCCTCTGCGCAGCACCCTGCAGTTGGCTCCCCATTTTACCCAGTGACGGGGACTGATTTGTTGCCCCACCCCCATGTCTGAGGGCTCCACCCTCCCGCATTCCAGCCACCCTGCCTGGCACCCTTCCTCTAAGAGGCTGGACTCTTAGGGCCTCACTCCTTAGGGCCTCTGTATCCTCTCTGCCAGGAACAGGCTTCCCCCACCTATCCCCCTCCTCCGGCCCCCCCACCTCCTTCAAGTTCTCTGCCCAGATGCTACTTTGTCAATTAGGTCGGCCTTGACCACCATGTAACGCCTCATCCTCTACCGCACCCCCCATGCTCTCCAGATCCGCCTTACCCTGCTAGGTTTTCCTGTTTTCCATCACATGTATCCCTTTCCACCACATTGTATTATTTATTGTTTATTGTTCTTTTTCTGTATCCCCACATTCAAGTGTAACCTCCCTACGGGCAGGGACTTGTGCTCTGCTCTGTTCATTGATAGACCTCATAGGTACCTGGCATATAGGTTCTTAGTATATACTTGTTGAATGAAATTGTTACAGATGATTTGAATAAGATGAAGGTGGGTTGGGAGCTCCATTAAGAAGGCAAAGGGCGGGGCACCTGGGTGGCTCAGTCCGTTAAGCGTCTGCCTTCCGCTCAGGTCGTGATCCTGGGGTCCTGGGATCGAGTCCCACGTTGGGCTCCCTGCTCAGCGGGGCGCCTGCTTCTCCTTCTGCCCCTCTTCTCCCCCGCAAAGGCCCCCCGCTCATGTGTGCTCTCTCTCTCTAATAAATAAATCTTAAAAAAAAAAAAAAAAGGTGACAAAGAGCAAGCTGAGGCCCAGGCTGGGTTGGGGAAACTAACAAACCCTCCAGAGTTTAGATCCAGAGGCTTTGGGACTTGGTATATTTAATCTGGTCTAGGTGGACACTGCAGCATCCCAAAGCTAGATGCAGGGCTGGAGTGGGGATGGCGGGTAACTCCCAGATTGTATTTCCCGGTTGGGAGGAGGAGAGCTGCTACCATTCTCCCACGGTTTGTCTGCGAGTGGCTGGCCACTCTGGGCGCCA